TATACAGATTCCAAAAAGCTGAGGTACATTTAGCTGAAGTTTTATTCTTTTACAGCAGATTTCACTATCAATTTCAGAAAACCTCAAAATCCAGAGTTTCAGAGTGCTCTCATATCCAAGCATGGTCTTAGACCCATTTCACAGAGATAAGAAAACATTATCAATTCAAGTTACACAGGTTTGTGACAGTACCCAAACCACATTTTAGATTATGACATTAGCTCTTTGCTTTCTCAAGAAACCATTTATCTCTAAGTGGCAAAAAAATATTTTCATCTGGGTGCCCGCAGTCGGACACGTAAATCTATGCTGAGATGCATAAAGATCATCAGAAGTAGGCAGCCACTAAAGCACCTACAAATCAGTGGTGTATACTGACTTGAAGGCATGCTGAAAAATTAACTTATGCTAAAAGGTAGGGATTTGGTTCATTGGTTTCTCTTTTTTGTTTGTTTGGGGTTTTTGTTTGTTTGTTTTGTTTTTTGTTTTTTTGTTTAGAAGACTGCTGTTTCCGGGAATCTGAAGACCTAATACCTAAATGTTACATTCAAAAGTATCCAAATTTGTAGTCCATGAAAACTATAAAAATGTTATTCATTCTGTCATTGGACTACCCTAGCTTGGACAGCAGTAACACTTGCTAGTGAGCTATATTCCTCATCCAAAACCCATTCCGAGTACTTGGAACCATGGAATCAAAAGTTCGCTACTTTACTCACAAATGCTAAAAAGTTTTTCATTTTAGAACCCTTACTGGAGAGCTGAAAAGAGACACAGGTATTAAATAAGTCCTCGGGCAGAATACAACTCTAAGCAAACTAGAATATTCAACACAGCGTAGTTTATTTGCACAGATAATCAACCAAGACTTTTTCTGGACTACAAAACTGGGTGCTGGCTTACTTGTGATAAGCCGTAGAGTACTATAACATGTTAGCTCATGCTTGGTGGCAACAGGTTTGTTTTCCAAAATTGTGTAATCCAAATTCCTTTTCTAAGAGATGATTTTGAGAAGCACTATTAAACAGAATAATTAATGAGAGCACAGCATACTAGAGAAGTAAATTTTTTTTTTTTTTGGTAGTAAGCTTCAAACAATAAATGTATCTATTTGTAAAGAACTAATATGATTTTAGAAATTGGAATTTCTGCTAGTGCACTAAGTTTCTGCTTACATTACAATCAGGTCAGTGTATCCAGCTGTAGCACATGACAGAGATTTTAGGAACACAGTTAGGGTCACATTTACAATACAAATCGGGAATGTGTTGCAACTGCATTCTTTGATTTGATTGTAATGTAGATGACTGTAAGGCTAATTAAACATCATCTACTGTTCACAGGAGAAACCACCAGCTGTTGCTTAAGCACAGTTTAAAGACAGTTTTATACAAAACAGGTTATGACATGGTTTCACCAACCAACAAGGACTGAGATTTTTCCATGTTATAACAAGACTCTTAAGCAAAATATGTTTAATACAGGTTTTGCTAGCAAGGTGCCAGGACACTTTAAAATTCATTGCACAGCTTCATAATAAATGTCTTCTATGTTTTGACACAGATAAAGTCAGTTTTCGTCTGCTGATAGTTAACCATTTGGTCAAGGTGAATGGTGTTGGGCTTTATCTTCACAAGGGTTTGAGACAACATTCAGGCCTGTCAAACCCCCAGTTTGGGGAAAAAAAATTAAATAATGTCTCTCTCCCATACATTGCTTTCATCTGGAAATCAAAAAGCACCTTCTTAAGATCACTATCATTATCTCAATTTTCAGTCAAGAAACTAAGACACAGAGATGTGCTGCTACATGCCCAAGATCAGAACAAGGACTGGTAGCTAAGGTAACTGAGGTACAATTCTATGTCAATAAGTTATTTCCCATTTGTACTTTAGATGTTTCTATTTTGTAGAGTATTAATTATAATAATTCTGGTGATATTGTAGAAGGATCCAGTATAAAAATTAAATTATAACAGAGCAGAAGAAATATTACAGCAAGTCAATAAAGTCTCTAAATATAATTTAGAGGTGTCATCTTTTCAGAAAAAAAAATTCCTGTAAAGTGATTCCCTAGCAGCATAGAAAGACAATACATAATAATGCCTACATACAATTGACACAAGATTAACCATCAAAGTTTTCTGGGCAAATTAGAAACAGCGAAAGTGTTTGGAACCAAATCAATAATTTGTATCATTTTTACATCCAATCCTTGAAACAGTTTGAGTAACACCTAACCTAGTTTTAGTATTTGATTAAATCACTTCCCAAGTAGCAGGTATGTACTGTTAGTTTTAATCCTAAATTCATATACTCCTGACAGCTCTTGAGGAACAAAGATGTATGTAAAGATTGCAGGTTTCAATGGTCCTAGAAAGTTGCAGTAGTACCGACAAAACAGATTTGCTTATGTAAACCTCTTTGCAGGAACTGGCTATCTCTGGGAAGCTTGTTTTTTTAAAGCACCTACTGCTACAATCTCTGATAGTTTAATACAGACATTGAACACTGCATTAAGTAATCTCAAGAAAAGTAATGATCATCATCATTCCCAGTTTTGGGAGCTTCTCTTGGTTGGGTAAATTTGAAATGCATTTCATTTTGCAGAGTTTGTTGAGCCGACCTTGCTCTTGACGGCAAGCAGTGTGATTTTATTTCTTCTAGTTCATTTTATTTCTTCTAGGAGACCCAATCCTGCAGGTAACCAATACACAAAATTTCCCCTCGAAATTTTCCCACCTGTCAGCATGTACACACTTCTTGCCACATTGCTTCCTTTGCAGTAAAGGTCCCTAAATAAAGTTACTTCAAATGAAGAGAGACTTAAGAAAGTGAAAGTAACCAGCTCCAAAACAGGAATGTGACTAAAAGACTTTAGGTAGGGAGCACACCACCTTGAGGCACAGATGCAAAAGTCAGTATTTATTGTATTAAAAAAATCACCCTTACACCTGGACTAACATGGGGAGAACAGGATAGAAATCAAATAATTTAAACCCTAGTTTTGATGTGTGCTACCCTCTTTTGCAACTTTCTACTCAGTACAGGTAATCTGTTTTCTGTTATCAAGTCAGAGCACAGTGGCTCTATGATGCATCTCATCATCTCATTCTGACACCTGATATTTCTTCCAGATTGTTACTCAAAGCTCTCTATCTACATGTGGTCAAGTACAATTCAAGTTTAAATCTTAAATCGTGTCACTTCTTAATGCCTCAGTGTAGCATATGTAAAATGCAGATAATTACTTCATTAAGGTGTGGTGTTTGTAAAATGTTTGAGAGTCTCAGATGAAAAGGATTGCTTCAAAATGTAATTATAATATTATGCCAGAGGTAAGGCATAGGCCTGTGATTCCACGTACAGTATTTAAATACAATTACTTATCTATCAAAATCAAGAATCTGTGCTATTTCTCCCTCTCTCAACTCCTGATCCTTTTCCCATTAATAATCTGAATAATCCTGACTCCAATGGATCTGCTCACTCCTTCAGGAAGGTGTACAAGTAACAAACAGTAACAGCAACACAAAAATTGTATCAATTCTCATTTAGCACTATTTTTCATAATTTTATGTGTTTATAAGAGTCCTTAAGTTCTGGTGTCACAGATGTTTTAGAGGGATACCTCCCTTTGGCATTTCTGTAGATGCCCACTGGTACCAGAGGTATTTGTATACACTTTCTGGAATGTGGATTATTTTTGGAATGTGGATAATTTTAAATAAATGTAAATTAAGGCAAAAATAACTTTGCAAATTGCCCATCAGCTATGATGCACAAGAGCATAATTTCTAATATTCACACTGTTCCTAAATCTACTTGATTTGGTGTGTTATGTTCAACACCTGTTGGTAGTTGCAACCTTCCTGACAGTACTCCTACAGCGTGGTGTGTTTCCTGCTCCTCTCTTTTACAGCAGACATCGGATGGGCTTTCTCACATCAGCCAAGCACCAAGTATCCCGGGCATTTCATGCAGTTACCAACTGCCACGTTTCAAGTCAACTTCAGGTTTTCTCCCGCTTTCCAGCAAAGCACAGGGATGACGGCACCACCATGGGTGTTTTTCCATCACGAGTGTTTTGCCCTCTGTGCAGCCAGAAGAGCAGGGATAACCACCCGTCTAGAAGCGAGGGTCACACAGTAAGAAGGACACCGAAAGGGATGAAACGGGAAGAGGAGAAGCAAAGACAGGGAGGGATGGAGAGAAACGATGCTGTCGCACAAGGCTGTAGGAGACGAAACAGGGGGTTATGGAAGGGCAGAGGACAGGCCACAGAGAAGCAGGGCGGCCCCGCGCCTTCATACAGGAGGTCTGGAAGGACTATCTCAGGAGATTCCAGGCCCACGCGTGCAGAGCCCGCCTCAGGTCCCTGCGTGTCCCTTCCCACCTCGGTCTGTCTGGGGGTGTTCCCGCTCCCGCTCGGGCCGGGACGACACGTGCCCAGAGCTCCACGGCGGGTCCCGGCAGGAGGGCGGGGAAGGGGCCGGGAAAGGGCCGGGAAAGGGGCCGGCTCCCCCCCGGCAGGGAGGCGGGAAGGGCCGGCACCCCGCACCTGGCAGCTCTGCCCTCCTCGGGAGGGCTGCCGCCGGCACCCGCTCGGATTGGCAGGAACCTGCGCCCTCCTCTTCCTCCCTCCTTTTCCCTCCTCCGCGGGGTGGGTTTCAGCCCTCCTTCCTTGGGGAGGGGGGAAGAGTTAAAAAAAAAAAGAAAGGGAAAAAAAATAAGAAGGAGAAAGAGAAAAGAAATCCCAAGTTGCGTCCCCGACGTCTCCGGGCCCCGCGGCCGCAGCGGCCGCCCCACATTCCTGGCATTCCTGGGCCGTGACTCCCCGCGCCGCCCCGGCCCCAGCCCGGCCCCGGCCCCGCCGCCTCCGGCTCGCCTGCCCGCCAGCCCCGCTCGCCCCCGCGGGACATCAGTCCCCTCCTCCTGCCCTGCCTCCCTCCTTCCCGCACCCCGCGGGCGGCAGCAGGAGCTCAGGGCGCCCCGGCCCTCCGCGCCGCCACCGGCGGCCGCAGCTCCGGCCGCCCCGCACAAGTTCCCCGCGGTGGCCGGGCCGGGGCGGCGGGAGCCGGACTGGTCTCCCTCCCCAGCGCCCGCGTCGGGTCCCGCCGGCAGCCTCTGCCTTCCGGGCCGGGACAGCCGCCTCCCGCGGGAGGCACAAAGCCGGAGCCGCCGCTGCCCGGGCGGCCGCCAGCAGGTAAGGAGCCGCCGAGTTCGCTCCAGCTCGGGCGCGTCCCCGCGCCGACTTTAAAACAGCCCGAGCTGCGCCTTGTACTCGGCGTGTGCGATCGGCACGGCCGGCGTGGGGCTCGTTAAGCGCTGCAGGGAGCTATTGCAGCTCCGCCGAGTATGCACTGCTGTCCGCAAACTACGAAAATAGCTAAGCTTGGGTTGCAAGTACCAGCCGGTGACTTGAGATAAAGCGAGCCTGGGACTGTCCGTCCAGCCCGTGAATTTAATCTGTTAGACACCCAGATAATACGGCGTTTGTACACTCGAGAGATATTTGTAAATAGCGAGGAACGGGCAGGGCTCCGTGCTGGGCTGCCCGAATTTACATCGCGGCATGCCCGTGTTTGCCTTCCCCCTGCCCGGGGGTTTACCTTGCTCTTTGTTAGTTACAGTCAAGCCTAAACTGGCCGTTCGTCTTCAGCAAGTATGTAACTCTGACGAGTTCTGCAGAAAAGATCGCGGCGAGGCAGGGAAGAATGACATCTGCTCTCATTTCTGATGTGGCAAAGTGGATGGATTGTTAAGATCTCAAAGTAGCTCACTTTATTGGGGTGTATTTGGGACAAGCGTTACGTAATGTATGTGTGGTATGTGGGTATAATGCTTGCTGGAGCTTTCCTATCGAGAATGTTTTATCTCTGATTTACATAAAATAATCATATGTTTCCATTAGAAGCAACTCTTTGGCTGTTTGTAACTTTAAAAAGGTGGGACCAAACAGCGACCGGTAAAAGGCTCAGATAAAATATGCTTTTGCCCAAAAAGTTTTCTGGGATCTTTGGCGTGTAGCCTGAAACCATAGCTGAAAGAAATGTTTTTACCAGAAGCCAGTTCTTTTTTCTTTAAACTTTATGCAGATAATTGCAACAGGCTTTGGTTATTCTGAAAGCACTGTTACATGCTGCAGTTTCTCAGAGTTTGGAAAAATATACATATAAAATGGCTCGCCCCAAATCACAAGTCACCACCTGCCAACCTCCATATTATGAGAGGAGATAGTCAGGTCTTTTGGGGGAGAGATGTAAGGAGGGGCAGTCCCAGCAGGGACTGCTCTGTGGTTATCCAGCTGAGAACGTCCTATCAAATATGAGTGACAAAATACAGATTAAGCAGCTTTTGGTCTTGCCCTCTGGGGAGTTAGTAGCTGACATCTAGTACTTGTTACATGGTGTAAAATAGAGCATGTGTTGATATTATAGTAATGTAAATAAGTTGTAGGCCCTGTTCTGTTATTGTCAGTACTTGAACTCTTTTTGGTGTCTTTAGAAGACTGTGCCAGAGTTGCTTACAGGCAGAGGGCACTTGTGTGTATCTCATGGGTCATGATACAAAAGTTGGGAGCTTTGCAAACTTGCTGTGTTGAAGCACAGTTCATCAGTGAAAAGGTAATCCCTACAGTCTGTCACCGACCTTGTGGCCATCAATTCTGCAACTGCATTTGTGTGCGAGAAGCTTGAAAACATGACTGTCTCAATGCATCCTCAGAGAATCTAGTGGTTCAGATCAAGGCCAGAGCAAGGGCTGCTAGACTCATCTCTGTACTGAGCAAACTGAGCTTTTATATGTATATACATGTTTTACACGTGCCTTTTAAATGTTTCTGGAAGAGCAGCAGAAGTAGCTTTGGTGCAGTGTTGTTCATGAGGGTTAATTAGCAACTAGTGTTAGCACTAGATTTTTCTCCTGGTCTTTCTTGTCCTGTGAGTCAGTTATTGTAACTTAGGTATGTAATGGCTTTCTATGAAATACATATACTGTTGTGCACTTAGCAAATTGTTTTGACTGCCAGTGGCTCCTGCAATAATGGATAAAGTGTGTGTGTATATATATATATATATACACATATGCCTATATAGTTGTGTACATAGTTCTAGTGACTCTATGGCTTCCTTTTTCTGTGTTTATTTGGTACTGCTTCAGCCAAAGTACTGCTCTTCATTCTGTTTCTCTTCATATCCAGTGAGGCTGTGTTTGGTTAGATGTCATTTAAGTAGCTCATTTTAATCGGGATTTAAATTTACTGTAGATATATGCAGTGTGAAAAGTGTACTTGAATTCCAGCTCCTCAGCTGGAAGCAAGTCCTTCTCTGTTGCAAGGGTTTGTCAGCTGAGGGGGGTTTATAAACTGCTGGTAGTATACAATAGGTAAAAAGTTTTCATCAGGCAGTGCTGCTCAGTACCATATAGGTCCTAGTCCTGCAAAGACACCCCCCTACACGTGTTTAAACTCACATTCATGAATAGTGCTTTTGAAACCACGGCATTTCTTTTATATACATAATAACAAACATATATACAAGTCTTTGCAGGAACCAGGCTATAACACTTAGTATGCAATATATTTGTGCGTGTGTATCCAGCTCAATTACAGAAGATTTCAATAAAGGCTTAATTTTTATGCTGAGCAGATGCCATAAAAGTATTTTTTTATGTCTAAATCCACTGCAAAGTACAGCATGCCTTGGCCTATTATACTTTGTGGAGTTCCATTGGAACAGATCCTAATCTTTGAAAACAAACCATTACCATGTAGATGTTCTTACTGTGAGGAGAGAGTATGCCTGTGCACAAGATTCTCTGAAGTTTTATGTGAAAATGTCTGGTTCCATTTTTAAAATCTACTGGTTTTCTATTCAGAGACTCTGTGAAACCTGGTACTTCCACCTGTAAAACACTTAAAATATGTATATTAAAAAGTAGTAATTAAAGATTAGTTCCTAAAGGAAATGAGGTAGACCTGAGCTGAAGCCCATCTTTGTGATAAAAGTATGATTTTGGTTCCACTGGCTAACCCCTATCTTTCTGTGCCTAGTACAGGGGACCTCAAGACTCAGTGTGCACACAGAGCTTCCTCTCCATGTCCAGAGCAAGTGTAGCCTGTCCCATGAGGTGCCCATCTTCTGCTTAAAGCCTTTTGGTTTGCAGTGCGTGGGGAGCTGAGGAGGTGATCTATGAGAAGACATGTCACAAGCTCTGAAGCAATAGGGTTCCTCACAAATGTGGGGCAGTCCATGACTCTTCCCCTTTCCTCTGGGCTGTAGGAGGGAATGAGGAGAACTCTGGAGTGTGGAAGGAATTAAGGACACTAGACTGTGGTGCAGCACAAAGTATGTAAAAAGAACATGCATGTATGTTTTAAAATGTATTTCCCAACCTATCATGTCTGCCCTAATAAGCAGTTGTACATGTTATAGTCAGCTATAGGTAACATGTAATATTCTCACCTTCTGAGAATACCTAAGGGACTATAAACTTAGCCCTAATTAAGCATAAATTTAGCCAACATTAAGAAGATTTTCTGACCAAAGGATTTTTCTGGAGGGTGTTGGGTGTATAACATGTTGGATGGGTGATGGCCTGGGAAGAAGAAAACACTGACCCTTCTGATCTCCTGCAGCTATTGTGACATTCTTATTTTCTGCTCATGTGAAGAGTTTAGGTACCGAGCTTTGCTCAACATCAAGCATGTCTTTTGGAAACTGAAACTCTCCTTTCTGATTCTCAATCAGCGTACCTGTCCTTATGACTAAGAATGCTTTTTTTTTTGTCAGTAACAATGTAAACTTTAAATTACCATGTGATGTAGAAACAACTCTGAAAAGAGGGTGGTGAACATATATGTTGGTGATCTAATAAACTAGATGAATGATGGTGTGCCAAAACTTGCTAATGATGCAAAAGTATTTGGATTAGGCAAGATTGAAGAAGACTGAGAAATTGTAAAGGGAATCCAAGAAAGCTGGGTAAAAGGGAAGCGTAGCAGATGATGTTGATAAATTCAAGAATATGCATGTTAGAGGGAATAATCAAATTACTTGTTCATGTTACTGGATTGTAAATTACCTATATTTATTAAGGTGGGGAGGAAGATTTCAACAGTGTTTTATTTAAACTTGTGCACCTTCTTAATGCTTAGCGTTGAGCAGAAGAAAAATGCCACAGTTGTTTTGCAATGTGTTAATGACACAAAGGATATTATTAAACTGGTGCTCAAATTCACCTGGAATAATCAATTTGTGATCTCCTATCAAAGAAGAGAGATTGAAAAATATTCATATGAAGTAGAACTGAAAATTTTAACATAGCTCTGTTTCAAGGCGGTCTGTTAGAGGAGGTAGGATGGACACGTGCAAAATAATGCTTGGCCATTACCCTTTTATACATACTTGTCACAAGGAGTAGTTTGAAAGACAATGTGTATAATACCCCTAAATCACCATTTTTGGTGTATACCACCAAAGGCGATCATATAAATCAAGAGCCTGGCAGGATGAACAAGGTAAATGAGCTGTTCTAGAGACGGGAGGAACAGTCACAGCTACAGCTGAAGGGATGCTAACTGTACTGCTCTAGGGCATAAATCAACCCTATCTGACAAGGATTAAGAAATTTCTCTTAGGATAGATTATGCTATAAGTGCCTGCTATGATATTTCGTGTGTTTTTTTACAGGGTAAGCTGATGTTAGAAACAGGATGTTGGGCTGATTATTTGACCCACTACAGTAATTTAGTTCCTGTATTGAAATGTGAATTATGCTGATTTTTTTATATATTAATGCAGATGGAATTGAAAGATTTATTTAAGTATGTTCAGGTTTCATGGAAAATACATGTTGGACTTTAAGTCTTTAACATGTTAAAGTTTGATGTTTTAATTTATTGAGGCATGCTGCGCTGTGGCCTGGACTGGCATAGAGAAGAACAGAAATGATGGTTAGACTTCATTTAAAAGGCAGATAGCACTGGTATCTGTTATTAATCAATTTGGTTATGATGATCAGTGATTTCTATTACGTGTTCTAATGGACAAAGTTTGTAGTTTGGGTAGTTAATATAAATATTTTTGATTTCTGTAACAAAACTGTGATAGTTGTGTCTGGGAGAAGCACAAGGACCAATTTCTAGAGGTAACTAGATCTTCTGCAGCTTAGTGAATCTTTCAAAGAAATTATTGTCAAAGTAAT